ATAAAAAAAAAAAAACATCTTTGTAAAACTATAAGTTTCTTCACTCCACTCAGAATCTAAACATCATTTGGTCAAAAATTCGTGGAGAACCACCGTCCTACTAATTTTAATTCTATGCCTGTTACTATATAAAAAAGTATCATCTGTAAATTATCTAATAATAAATTATCGGTCATAAATTGGATATTTATGTTTCTAGTTTAAGTGTGTATCTATTAATGTTTATATTTACGTCTCGTTTTTTTTTTTTTTATTTGTTTATATATCTATATCTAATTTTTATGAATTGTACATATATATTATGAAACATTGAACTCTCTACTTTCAACACAAACGTTGTTTTATTTCAAATAAATAGTAAATAATATTTATATTATTTACTATTAATAGTAATAATTTTATTTCAAATCAATTTATGTATTTTATTATTTTGTATATACATTGAGAAATAAATATTCATAAAAATACATAAATATATATATATATATATGACCATAGGATCATAATGTATCAAATGCCACAATAAAAAACGTTTTGCTCATTTTTTTTTTTAACAACTTAGTGCATATTGTTCACAAAACCAAGTTACTGCTATTCTAATACAAGTTTTGTTTTTTTTGTATTAAAATTAATTTTGGTGATTTATACAATTTTTAACAATGATTCTGTAAACGTATTCTTAAATAAGTATTATATACTTAGTGTTTATAATTCAAAATTTCGTATATTTATTCATTAAGAATTCTTATACAAACAAAGTTTAGTCCACCATTTTAGTTAAAAAGTTTGAAAGGTAAGATACATTGGTTTACTTAGTTTATGCAACGATAAATTATTGCAAACGATTCTGGTCTGAAAGTTCGTTTAAACGTATTCTAAAATGCCGTAATTTTTATCATATTAATAAGTATAGTGGTTAAACAATATAGGTCCCTATGTGTTTGCTTATTTTTAATAACATTGTACGTCCAAAATATATTTGAACGAAATTTAAAGAAACTTTAAAAATGTCAATTATTTCAAGTGTATTAAATACCTATTATAAAAAAATATAATAAAAACATCTGTTGGGGAAATCAAGAAACATTTGTCGTCTGTACAAATTCAATCCACAATTTATTATTTGCATTGATTTTGTATAAATTCCAGAAATATGCCATAGGTGCCTATTTAAATATTTTAATAAATTAAGTAACCTTTTAAAGTACAATTAATAATGAAATATATATCTACATAAAGTTCAATTTAATATTTGTTTTTGTTCCGACACATAACATACATATTTCATCTTACCTTCCGAAACATCGATAATTCTTTTTTATAATTTACTTTAGATAACTTTAAAAAAGACCTTTGAAGTAAAATACAATTCTCATTTTAATATATTTTTGATAACTGACTGATATTATAATAACGATCTAGAATCGCCTGCAACGATCCTATATAGTATTATTAGCTGATACACTTTTAATTTATATAATATTTTCTCTTCAGGTTTTAATGCGTCGCAAGTCATGAACAAAATTTTAAATACATAAAATGGTATGCTTACATACTATGATGACCAAATTAATAAAAATTAATTAAAATAAACGGAAATTTACAAATATATTAGATTTTAGTATAAATTATGATTTGAAAATAGTATATTAAATTTAATGAGAAAAATAAGGTTCAAGTTTAAAGTTTAAAAATTGTAAATTTTAACCATTTTTAAATAAAGTATAGATATACTGTTGTTTTATTTATTTATTGGAGTAATGCCAAAAAGATACAATTGAAAACAAAAAGCCAATATAAATAAATATATTGAATGTGCCACAAGACAAAAATAATAGGTAGATAACAATAATAGATATAACATGTATACAATTTACGTAATTAATAAAAAAGACACAATATGGTTTCTAAATCATAAGAAAAAAAATCGTTATTTTCCATTTCATTACATGGGGTTAGTATAATCATATCATGGTTTATATAATATACAATGATTTAAATCCATATGTGCGGTGATCAAGCGCTGGGATATATGTAATTGATTTCGATTTAGAATAATCTACTATATTATTTGAAATATTATATCATATAAAAACATATCGTCACTTATACTCCAACAGCACGTGTCTCAACATTTGATAATATTCGATTTTTAGCATTTCCAAAAATGTTTTTTACTGTAATTTAGACTCACGAATCTAACAATATAACTTGTTAAAATTAAATTCATCGGCCAATACATTGAAACACTTATACGGAGTTTGATATTGGACAATTTTCATCGAAGATCACACAAAAAATATCTCAGAATGCATTCGATTTTTTTTTCTTTTAATTAATTCTTTCATAACACGTTGCTAAATGTAACGGATCCATATTTTCTAGTTAGGGTCTTACTAACGGAGCCAGAAATAGAGCTTTAATACATTAAATTCTTAACACTTCCTGCGTAAAAATCTCTAAGCTCATGTATATATATATATATATATATATATATAAAGCCTTGTAATTTGTCAGTGATCATATTTATGGTTTGAAAAAAAAATATGCGTTTATTTGTATAGATTATATAATAATATTAATAAAAAAATATTTTTTATTTTTAATAGATTTGTAAGAATAAATGAATAAATATTATAGTTCAATGAAATCAATCGGCGCGGCGGCGACAAAAATCTCTACACGGGTCATCGTTTATATATAATTATTATTTATGATACAAAAATAACCGGGACATGTCAAAAACATATGGACCTGCAGTATATTATTATTAGCATCAAAGACTTATTTTAACCAAACGGAATATTCGGAAGAACCGTGTCAAAAAAAAAATCAAATTTTTTTTTCTTGTTTACACTTTCCTATATTTAAACTATTTGCGTTTAATTTAATACATTTTTGCGGCGCAGGCTATAATCATATGTGTTCGAAAATGTTCCATTTCGTTGCATGCATTAATATTTACAGCGAAAAATTCGTTTGCATTTTGCTTGAACGCTAAAATATAATATTTAATATACCTATACGATAAAAGGCCGTTAATGGTATCGTTGCCGTCTCTAAAGCTTTCTATCGGACAATATATAATACAAATTAAAACATTTGAAAAGTTCTTTAAAAATTGCCTTTAAAGATAAAACACCTGTTATAAAATGTGTAGATTACAATGTGTTTAACACAACTCCGTTTTTCCATAAATTGTGTAAGTATTGAAATCATTATCTTAAACTGTTAGTTTTTCAAGTAACAAGAAAATTAATAAAAATTGGTAATTTGACAAATAAAATAATATTTTAACGTCGTAATTTGTCCTTAAAAAAAAAATACACTGATTTGGGTGCACCTATATCTGCGGCGTTTACCATGCATATTATGATCGCGATGTCATCCTTTTTTTTTTTTTTACATAGAGTTATGAAGGTACCTATAATGCAGGGTTTTCAGTATAAGAGAACGCGTCGTCATCAATTCATGTCGGAAATTAATCTCGGCTGTTACTCAACACTATAGATTTAATCTGGTCTTAAATTTCACCGGCAAAATAAATTACTATAGAAGAACACCCGCGATCACCGTCGTTTGCACGGTCCATCTGGTCTATATAAACGTCTGGGAATACGCCAAAAAAAACACTACAGTTTTCCGTTTATCTTTATAATGTTATCGCGTATCCTGTTTATAATAATGAAATTTGAATGCATCACAAAGTGTTCAAATAATACCTGCCGATACTCTCCGAACTCTGCACTTAAAAAACTACGGATTTTATTTTACCTACGTAATTTTACGTGTTTTATTTTTATCTATAGGCACAATGTTATTAGACTGTGCGCGCACATCCTAGAATTCATTAACCGAACCATTTCAATCACTTAGAGGCCATTTTTTTTCTTTAAACACCTTATTATATATTATTCATTAGTTAGTTCAATCTAACATGGAATGAACAATACAATGAAATAGGCCAAAGTTTTATTTTTTAATGTGTATCGCATATTATTTAAGTAAAATATATGATAGTCCTATTCATACCAATAAACAATAAACTTTTTTAATCTCACTACACTTATTAGTGAGAGAAGGTCTTATCTGTTCCTCAAATTTTCACTAAACTTATTATCAGTTGAAATTTATTTCCGTTAACTTTCATCCGCTTTAAAACCCTTAATAACAAAATCCTAAACCTTTTTTTACCTATGTTTCCATGGTAAAAACTATCGATTAAACTTTTCGATTAATTTATTACAAATTATATGGGCGATATATTTAATTTAGTTAATTTTACGGGTTTTAATATTTTAGTTTTTATAGTCATAGTTTTGTAACTTCTAATATATTATTTGTAATGGTTGTTTCTATACGCTCATAATTCGTTAATTATAATTGTATTAATGTTTAAGATTTATAATTTGTTAAGTATGTAAAACTAAATAAAATAATAATTATTTTCAGAAATGAAGTAAAATATACAAAACAAGAAATTATTGAAGTCTTTGATAATAGATATTTAATTCAATCGATCCAAATCTATCTAAGCGTATATAATAACGATAACCAAATAAACCAAAATAAATTGGGCTGGAACCCGATTGAACACTATTGACCTTTTTCACAGCCTAATTGAGCATGGTTGCAATTACATAATAGAAACCCAAAAAATAACACGATTGAGCACGAAAATAAGCGCGACGTTGACACTTTGTACCGTAGAATATTATTAATAAAAAACAAAATACATTTGCACATAAATATTTATAAATACAAATATTTTATATGTTTTTAATCACATATTAAGACAGTGTTTGCCGTATTAATATGCTAGGTCAGTTAGTTTAGTATATAAGACAATTAAAATTTGTTTCTCTAAATACCGAATACGTAGTAAGTATAGACAACCATAGCGAAGTAGCTCGAGACAGAAAGAGATAAAAAAAAGTTAGTTTTGCAGCAATGAGCTAGAATAGTCTCGGAAGCTAAAAGAAGAAGATATAATTTGCAACATGGGCATGCTACTGTTGTTGGCCTGGTAGGGTATATATAACTGCTATAGATAGCTGCTTATGAAAAACGATTCTAAGGAAAGTTTTATCACGTATGATAAATTTAAACTAATGATTTGTAACTATATAAAATAAATTTGAGATGTACGAACTTTTTTTTTATTTTTTTATTATATTTGGTGAAACAAAATTACAAATTTCTTTTTGAAAAAATCTGTGATTATTAAACCTAATCTAATCTTTAACTCATTTTAAGCTGTTAATAGTTGAAGCTTTTTCTATTTTTTTTCTATTTGTCGACTATTTGTTNGTGAAAACTATAGAGGGATCTCACTACTCAATACTTCATATAAACTATTGTCCAACATACTACTGACTAGAATTAACCCATACATCAAAGAAATAATTGGAGAGTACCAAGCTGGTTTTAAGCTAAGAAAATCAACAATAGATCAAATACACATTGTAAAACAAGTTGTTGAGAAGAGTCACGAATACAATAAAGACACATATCTACTATTTGTTGACTTCAAAGCAGCGTATGACTCAATCAACAGAGACAAACTATGGGAAGTCATGGACCAGTTAGGAATACCAGCCAAGTTAACCAGATTAATAAAATCGTTTACATATAATTCAAAAAGTAAAATTAGTTTCGGAGGAGAATTATCAGAGGAGTTTCAGGTAACGACTGGTCTTAGACAAGGTGATGCTTTATCACCTGCACTGTTCAACATCGCCCTAGAATCAGTTATGAGGACAGTTATATCCCAAGCTAAGGGCATAGAAATAAAAGACAATCAACATCTAAAAGCAGTTGCTTACGCGGATGATATAGTATTATTAGCCGATACAGTTAATGACTTAAAAAACACAACAGACATGCTGAAGGAAGGGAAAAAAATTGGCCTAAAAATTAATGAGACATAGACAAAATACATAATAGTATCTAGACAAAATCACAGATTGGATTTCTTGAAAGTAAATGAGTACATATTTGAAAGGGTAAGAAATTTTAAATACTTAGGTGCAGATATTAATGAAGATGCTAATAGCCACGGAGAAGTGAAAAGACGGCTCATCGCAGCAAACAGGTGTTACTTTGGACTATTATCATTGTTCAAATCAAAACTATTATCAAGGAAATCCAAAGTAACATTATATAAAGTTCTAGTCAGACCAATAGCTCTATATGCAAGCAGTACTTGGGCGACGACAAAGTCAGATGAAAAAAAGTTGGAAGTATTTGAGAGAAAGATATTTGGCCCAAAGAAAAACAA